AGAACACTAGAATTACTTTCTAATTTTTGCCGTAACTGCATATGTGTGATAAACCACTAGAGAAGTGGTTGTTTCTACGCAAGTTGGTTCTTACTAACTAATGTGTGAGCTATTAACCTTTTGGACAGCCCTTTTATTTACAGGTACACAAGTTATGGATATCTTAAGAGTTTAACCTTACAATATTTATTTCTTAATAGGTCCGTATATCATATGTGTACCAAGACGACTTAACGGAAGACAATATTCGTTGTCAGTTAAAGTAAAATGACTACAGGCCTATTGAGGTATAGAGTTGTTACCTATAATGGATTTCAAAATACATTAGGGCTTGTGTGCTTAAATTCCTGGGCACCGTAAAACTTTAGCTTTTAACTTTCATGTATGACACACTCACAAACTAATAGGATGAAAACACTTGTTAAGAGCTGATAGACAAGAGATGTATAAACAAGCTTTCTAGAGTAACTGGATGGAGGAACATCCAGCTGACGAGTCTTAAACAGGACGAAACGAGGATCCTGGATTCCACTGCTAGCCAATATTCATCTTTGCTTCAATAACTGGATTCTAGTTACTGTTTTTTCCACTGCATAGCTGTATGAAAGAACTACAATAGTCTAGGCTGATATTAATATAAATCGTGGTGGGTCTCAGCAGAAGAGTTGATTCAAGATATAACAATGCGCAAAGCTACCAATGATATACCAAAAAAAATTAACACTACAAACCCAAGTGTGTGTTTATAAGCAAAGCAAAATGTAACAAAGTATAATTATAATATAAATGGTATATTAAATAAGAAAATGATAACAGTCATTATGTCATGAATGTTACTTGTAAGCTGATCTCTGAGATAACAACTATAAACGAGTTGACTTGGTCAACAAGGTTTCTCTGCACGTGATGGCACCAACGGCGTAATGAGAATGGTTAAATCTGATAATATTATTTAAAATTAATCCGGGTCAAAACTCCATCGAGAAACAATAGATATGGAATATATACAAATAAAGTGTAACAAATAAAGAAAAATGAGGTCTCCATTTTATCGTTACAAAAATCATTGAATAAACATGTCATAATAAAACTTCATATACCGAATGAAAAGCAGTTTATAATGCATTGTTCAAGAAATGGTTCAAAATAGTTGTGGACGGAATAGAAGAAGCTTTCGCTTAACGGACTTCCGTGTCTAGTAGCAGTGGGTCACCAATATCTGCAGGTAGGAATTTCGATAAAACGTAAGAACCAATGAAAAGCAGTAACACATCTTACCAGTTAGTATCCTTATATTTTTAATAACTCTTATCTACTCTTTAAATTTATCTATTAACCCAAGTTGCTGCTAAACCAAGTAAGTTTAGCTAAAAATTGTCCACACTGATCGATAATATAATACAAAATACATGGGTCATTAAATTAACTAGACAACATATATACCCCCAGAATTTCTCACACAACTTCAAATACACAAGACTAACCGTAAAACCGCCATACAGAAATTTCTCGCTCTTTTACCAAGCATTCTAACACAACACACGTTAGCTTGTGGTATGTGGTGCGGTGCGGTCGAATATGTGACAAAAAACTGCCAAACAATTCAACTGTTCAGAATGAAATGAAAAGTATATCGAAAATAATCATTATAAATTCCATATATAGTCACTGAACGAACAGAAAAATATACTACATGAGACACTTCACTTACATGGCAACGCGACATCATTATTCACAAACAGCTTAACGGGAAATTAGCCTTGTGAAGAAACCATTTCGGATTTCTTCAGAAAAAAATTTATACAAAGTCTCAATAATGTTTGCATAATATTCGCTTATATTTAAACAGGTTATATATATATATATATATATATATATATATATATATATATATATATATATATAACTAAGTGAATAAATAAATCAATAACGAAGTAAATCTTTAATGAAGTAAGACTTGACGGTAGAATAAGAGTTTGTGCAGTAATAGTTTAGAATGATGTTATGAAAGTCTTACTTAATTTTAGAGATTAATCGTGAAATATCAAATTGTATGAGTCATATACACGTGGTAAAGATAAAAATGAATCTCAAAAGTTAGTTTATTTAAGTGTAACACAAGACATTATGTTTTTAGTTCTAAACTTTGGATGTCTAGGAATCAAATTTGTGCAGAAAGAAAAGAGAGGAAAGAAAAGAATATCTGGTGTGTCATGGGATCAACCATGATAATAATAACATTAAAAATAATATATATGAACATAAGCGGACTTTGGATAATTAGATGAAAAGAAACAAAACAAACGAACAAAATTTCAAAGGTCCCACTTACTTTACAGTCAATTAGATAGATATTGAACCTCGTTCATTTAAATCATTGGTTATCACACTGATATTTGATAAATGACCCAAACCACTTTCGGAAAGAAAGTCATCAAAGAAACTTTTGAGCCGAGTTATAGTTTCACTATAGCGGAGGTTTAACGGAAGTCTGCTCCACATGGTTGAATAGGGAATGACGAATAAATTCTGATACGAATTTGTGTGGGTTCTCTGAATCGATAGAATATTCTCTTAATTGCTCAGGTTGTGGCATTATATGCAGAGAACGAAGGAGTGGATGTTGAAGAGTAAGAAATTCCATTTATAAGCTGATAGATAAAGACAAGGTTTGATTTATTGAGCCTAATCCAGAGAGGTTCTAATTTGAGTTGTTGACGTCTTTGGTGGTAATCCTTGTTGTTGGAATGCCCCGGAACAGCTTTAGTTAATCTTCATTGAACACCTTCAATTTATATCAAGTCATAATGCCTGCAATTACTGTAAACTAAAATACCATGTTTAAGGATGGGTAAGATACATTTTTCATATAACACTAATGGCCATTTGATGTTATTGAAACTTATCATTATGAATCCAATCAGATTTAAGATAACACGTATTTGATTTTAGCGCGAAATTCACTCACCCAAATGGCTAAATAGCATTTTGAAAAATTTTACCCGATGTCAGTTTGTGATGAAAACCATAACTCTTATTAGTAACCCTAAAGACAAAGTGTAAATCCTAATCCTAATTCCTCAAACTAATTTATAACCCCCCTTTAACCATAGTGAGTTGCTCTACATCTTCAAGGTCACTTAAGCATCGCTCAAACTGTGATCACTTTACTTAACCAATATTGCTGAAAATAAAATGCAGCTGAGTCAAATTAGCCATTGAGTTATAACGCAAACTAACCGTCCATAATTTCCAGTTCTAGCCAGATTATATTCCTTTACTTATTTTATTTGTCTACTAAAAATATATATATATATATACATGTATATATACGTCAAGCTGTTACTCTAAACAACTCATTTTCATGGAAAACTAGGCCTACATTTCTGTCACCTAGGTAGACCATCGTTCTTAATCACCAGTTAAACAACTTACAATTTATTGAACACTGATGAATTTAGATGATGTGGAGATGAGCAAGCTGAAATCTAGGATTATGGGGATTGAGTTGTAGTAGCAACGGTAATAAGGAAATTTCATATGAATAATAAACAACTATCAAAACTGGAAAAATCTACATTATAAAATCAGTGAATTGGATATTATGCGTATGTAAGACTTCTATATTACACAATAATTGAAACACTCAATAACCCAAGAGATACAGTTGAAATGTCTGATTTTGGAGGGATTCCAGGAATGTTTTGAACAACTGAAAGCAAGGTGTGACACAAGTATTATGATAAACAATATTATATATTGAAGGAGATCGGATAAAATTTATAGGATACCTAGTTCAAACCACATTAGTGTAATAAAGAATACTGAGTATAATTTTCTGCATAACAATTACTGCAACTAACTAGTACTTAAAAGAAATGAAAATCGTAGGTAAATTTCTGTCCATTGGCTAATAATGAATTTCTGTTTCGATTTCAACAAATATTTGTTATTATAAGCAAAGATGGATAGTGCTTAGCAATGGAATCCAGGACACACGTTTCGTCCTATTTGGGACTCGTCAGCTGCATGCACCTGCATCTCAGAGTTGATTCTAGACACTATCCATCTTTGCTTCTAATGACTGTGAATTAAGGCTACATCGAGGCAATACGCATAGTATGCACATATGCCAATAAGAAACTGATCAATTGTAGTCCTAAGTATCAATGGGAAGATTCAAACAAACAATACCAAGTCAATATTTGTTACTGTTCCAATTTATACTTTTTAAATACAGCGTGAACAAAAACTAAACAATGTCTAGAAATTTTTATATTTCAATGAAGGAGGTTAGTAGGCTTGAAAATTCGGAAGCTGAATCCAGTTTTTTTCACACTAAAATATTATACTTTTTTGTAGATTAAATGGTAATGAATATTTTACAGCAACGCGATAATATATGATCAAACTAAGTCAAATGAAGAAATAAGGTCTAAAATAACAGTTCTAACTATTCAGTCAGTGTTCTTGATGTCTCCAGTTCTTTCATAACATATAGCACACGCTCTTCTTGCCATGGTTTACCAATGATTTGTACACCGACCGGTAAGCCTTCACTTGTTTCCTGATACTTAAATACATTATAAAGATATCGATTTCCAACTTTCTTATATTCTTCAGCCAACACATTTGAGTTTTGTACATCTTCTTTATTCACATATCCCATTGGAACTGTTCCAGCTGGATAATCTAGCATGTTAAACAACACTGTATAAGCAACAGCTGGTGTAACAAACATCGATTTAGCAGACTTTGGAAACGCGGGGAAGGGGAAAACTGGACAAATGATTGCATCTAAATTACCAGCTTCTTCCATAGCTGTTTGAAATTCATGTCTATAAAACTCAATATCTGAGATTAAGTTTAATGTTTCCGCTTCCCCTCTAGGACCATCCAAGAAACTTGTAACTGCAGCTGGTCTACCAAAGATAATTGTCAATAATTTATCAACCATAACTTTCAGCCAGTGTGGGGTATTAATTAAAAGACGAAGAAATTTAGTGTGTTCATTTAGTGGTTCTGCAAACAAAGCCTCTTGAACATGATATTTTGTGTCAACAGAAATCGCCTTCATACCTAATTCATAAGCCCATTTTATGTTAGGTGGATGAAACGGTAACAATATATGACCGCGTTGTCTTAGAATGTCCACTGACTCATTCACTATTCTTCGAACACTTGGAACGCTAGTAATAATTAGTGGATCCTCTAGAGTCACATAATATCCGATTGTCAATTTCGGCTTATCTATACCCGCGTAGATCATATCATTAAACAGTAATGGTGGCACATACGGATCCATCTGAAACATTTTTGTTGTTAAAAGTGTACGCATTAATTTAGCTAGATCATCCACTCTTCTACCCATTGGTCCAACACATACTCTCAATAATATTGACTTTTTATGACCGATCCCACCTACACCTTTACTACTAATACGATTAGTTGTTGGTTTTAAACCAACAAGACCACAGAACACCGAAGGAATTCGTATACTTCCAGCCAAATCTGTTCCAATTCCAACTGGAGATCCCCGTAGACCTAAAAGTACACCTTCACCGCTAGAACTTCCGCCTGTTTCATGTTCTGATGAATGAGGATTGGACATATCACCAAACACTGGATTTATTCCACTCAGAGATAGAGCTGTTTGAGAAGTTGCTGTCAGAACAAAAGGTATTGCTCCTTCATGTCTAAGTACTTCCACTATGCAACAATCTTTATGTGATGGTTTATTACATCGGTTTATCAAACCAAACGTTATATCATATCCCTTGATCGAACACAATTCTTTTAAACTAACAGGAATACCAACCAATGTTTGTTTACTTGTCGGTAAGCGATTCAAATTAGCAAGGTCAACAGCCAATTCCTCAGCTTCATCAAGAAATTCACATATTCCTGAGTTTCCTGAGTCATATAATTGTAAAGCCTTCATTTGATAAGCGTGTAACAAGTCAACTGATGTAAATTTGCCTTCAACTAAACGTTCTTGAATAGTATCTAAATTCAGATCTGTAACTGATAGTAAATCAATAAATGATGTGCTTTTCGTGGATGAAAGATGTTCCTTCAGCTGATCCATTCGTTGAGTTATTGATTGCCTTTTATGTAATAATTTGATACGCAATTTAGACTTTTTCTTGAAATATTTCACAGCATGACCAATAATAAATATGATGAAAATCGGTAATAAAATTAAACGAACTGCATATTTTGTTATCGATGCCAATAAAGTCGGAAGTAAATACCAACAGAATCGTAAACTTTGTTCCATATTTCGTTTTCTAAAATATACAGAGTTTATATCATTATGAAATATTAAAGTCACATCAGTTATGGTACTTATACAAATAAATGATTATTAACTCATCGTATATAAGATTACGGTTCAGATATGTAAGCTATAAGTTTCATTTCTGACAAGTACAGTTGTCTGGTACGTGACTTTGAGAGTTATTCTGCTATTCGAACTCATGTATTATCATCATCTTATACATTTAGATAATTAGTTTACCTATTTATCCGATATTTGTAGATATGAAAAACAAATCAATCGGTTTGCATTAAAAAAGGAAAGAACATTCTCGTAGTCATGCTTAAAATTCCTTATATAAAACTACTGCAAACAATTCAATACATTGTAATTCAATACATTTATCATTGACGCTATTTAGTTTCTAATTTATCGTCATTTTAAAGTAAACACTTGGAATAAAGATAAGAAGCTTAGTGTCTAAAGTACTCTGCTTTCGATATGTTTTTCACGTATTTCAACTTCAGTCTTTATTCTAATTTAGTTAGCTAGTTAATATACAACCCCCCACAGGAAATACAGTTGAAAGTCGGATACAGAAGCTTAAATTTGGTAAATATATTACAGTGATGAAGTAATTAAATGAACATACAACAAAAGATGTTTTCATACATCTAAAGGTTTATTTAATAATTGTAAGAAAGAGGGATCGCAAGATAGAAAGATAAGACTAGGAGTCCTGAATTTTAGATAACTGAAAAATCACGCAAAATCTGTTAAAACATAGTACCATAAAATTCAATAGTTGTAAATACAGAGTTATAAATTAAGAGGAACAAGAAAAAAACTAATAATTGTAGTTATAATTGAAAAAACTAACTACCTAATTTACTACTCGATAATAAACCAGTAGGATAAAATTACAAGAAGAAGTTATGATAAACTACTGAATGATGAATAGCTTGATTGAAATTTACAAAAGGGGATTTAAATTTTAAACTAAAAACATGTATAATATAATGAAGTTATATGATTTGGCAGGACTTATGTTAAATATATTGTTCAATGAGTTGGCTCTTAAGGAAACCTGGATAGGAAACCTCATTAGCGGTGAAACCGTGTTTCATTTGAAGTTAGATCAAATGACTGGAACTATAAGTGAATGTATGGTAAGAAAAAGTTTAACTGGATATTTGTAACTAATCAGTTTCAAGGAAACACTAGACAAGTAGGTTATTTCCACAGGTTTTGCTGAATTTCTGAAGGCTTTCAGATTCGAAAATCGAGAAGAACGAAAATAGCGTAAAATAATAAAATACCTTATCAACTTATGGTGTATAGTACCATGTCAAATACACATGAGTTATTCTAGCTTCCAGACAGACCAATTTACTCATTTTACTCAAACTACATTCTGACCTTATTACTTATTGCCATATTAACCCCGACTGCTTTATATGAGCGTGTGTGTCAATCCCTTATCCAACTCACCACATTTCTGCAGTCTATTTTCGTCTGACTATAATTGTCGAGTCACGCTTGATTAAATCGAGTTGGCTCACATGCCCTCTCCTATCCGTTCCGCTTCGCTTCTCTGATCATCTGTCTAGATAAATGATTGTATAAAATATACGTATTCCAAATCCATTTTCGTATTCGACTTATTTGATTCCGTTGTTCACTAAAGCTATTTACGACGATAGTTTTACACGAGGATTGGTGTCGTGTATATTTCAATAATGATCACATATTGGACCAGTAAAAGTGGGCATCCTGTCGATATCATCATCCTCCGATCTAATTAGGTATTAAAACGAACGGCTACACCAAAAACTAACTTTCTGAATTGGTTCTCTAATTTATAGGACAACAAAAGATGTGTAATAAATAGGTAATAACAGACCTTACGGGGATCTGGAGTTTAGGATAATAAGCTTAGGAAAGAACTGTAGAGTTGATTAATATTGAAACTAACTGCAACTTGTGTTTAGATAATTTCGTCATTTTAAAACAAAATCCAATTACATCAAGCCATTCGTGTTTATACAGACAAAATTGGTTATTATTTATGAAAGTGAATGTCATCAATGATAGAAAACTAACCCATAATCATCAGATGTTCAATTATATATGGACATGATTACATATCTGTGGACATTTTGTGTTTGACTTATAATCATGGTAACTTCTTCTGCATTTTCTATGCTAATATGCTATTTAAGAAGTAAGAATAAGTTTCTGATAGCTGGTTATTTCCTTTTTAAAATCTATTCATTCGACAGTCCTTTGTCGGTTATTTTCTATTTAAACTTAACCATCACTCCATTATAAAAACTAATTCAGATAAACGGCTCAATAACCATAATGCAGTGGATAGGAACACGAGGAGGGACAGTCAAATGTATTGGACGCGAAATTACAGAAGGTCTCACTAAAATCTGACAACCATACAGTTAACAATTAATTTGCAAACTATTGATCGGTTGCTTCAATCTTGACTGTTCCTTCTGCAAATATCAGTCCATCGTCTTTGATTCCATTGTTCATGCAATTTCATACCAATTACGTTCCGTTCCCGTTCTTTCCTTATCGATCTTCTGCTGAAATACTTTCTAGGTCTGACCATCGCCATATGCTACTTATGTGGATATAAGTAATCCACACAACATTATGTCTAATATTTATCAACTATAACGGTTGAGTGTACATTGTGATCGTGTAATTATCATCAATTCATAACAGTTAACAAAGAGAAGATCTAATTAGAGCATAACATTATCTATCATAAGCTTTACAAAAGTGAGACGAAGAGTTATCCTTCATTCAAAACTTTCAAGCACCTCTCTTATGATAACAAACTAGCAAAACAATGAGCACAATGACCAATACAATAATCTTGGCATCCTACAACAGCCTGCTATAAATATACGTACAAGTTGAATCAGTCCATTGCATTGTAAATATATGCAAAAAACATGATTCAGATATCATTACCTAGTACCTGGTTGATATTACGATGGCATACTTAGATCACGTATATGTGTTGTCTATTTGATCTGGTTTGTTCACTTTTTCTGTTTAAACGTATATTTATTAGAAGAAAGTTATTCATTCTCTGAAGAAACTCCTGTGCTAAGTCACAAATTGTATCTATAAAACTGAGTTGGGACATTAGAAATACGTTATTTACAATATAAGCTCATTATGAATTTGTCAGAATCAAAATAATGAACTTAAATCGCTTATTATTGAGAGAGCTGCAAACTGTAACCTGAATACTTTTGTAATTTTTCTTTAGAATAAATTTTTTTAGGGTTAGTAAATAACGTGATACATACTGAATTGAAGACCCCGATCCTACGCATACAAAAATAAATTCTACATGTCTGTATGATGGTGAGTCTTTTGATTGACTTAAAGCCTAGTCAGTGCATCTCTTTCATAATAACAATATTGCTCATCGTTTTTTGGCTACTATTAACTTCGTATTGTTGCATATATTCATTCAGATTTTCACATAAAATCAAATTGAGTATTTCTGGGTTATTGTAGATTTTATTAATGTTTGAACTGAAGAACTAATTGCTTTAAATCTTTAAAATACTTACTTATGAAGATATTTCTGAAACAAAGAGTTGATAAATTACCTTGAAAGATGTTACAAATTACTCCCACTTATTGACTTCTGTATTTGAACACAACTGATTTTCAGCTTCATTTTTTGCTTTCTATGGTGAAATCCAGAACATTTATTGGTTATTTATGATGTCGAATCAGTGACAAGATTTTATAACAAGGTTACAGAAAATGTCCAATCAAACGTGAGACAGAAATATACATGGAATAAAGACGTAACGATCACGTTAGTTAAATCTTGAAAAACATAAAGGATACGGCATTGATTTTAATTTGTTATCGCGACCCAATTAGAAAGTCATTTTGACCTTGAAAGTCTTTTCTTCAAGTGACATCAACGACAGCCAATCATAGACCTGTGTTATAATGAATTGTGTAAACGAAAACCATTTGAAGGTGAAATGATATTGCTTATTCTGAAATGCGTTAGTTGCAAAAAAAGTCACACGACTTCAATGTTATAAGATCATCCGAAACTTATTATACCATAATTTTTGCCCTATAAAATGGGGCTAAATGGGTATTCTTATTTTTTATAATAATTACAAAGAGATTGAAAATATAAGATATACAATGTTTGTAAATTTAGTATCATGTTCTCTTCAAGTGTTTCAGAGATTTCACATTTTATGAACACAATAGTGAATGCATAAGGATTTATATAAAGTTTATTTGCTTATAACAAAGCTGATCATAAATTCACTTGATATTGATTGTTTGAATCTTCCCATTGATATTTAGGACTACAATTGATCAGTCTCTTATTGGCATATGTGCATACTATGCGTATTGCCTCGGTATAGCCTTAATTCACAATCATTATAAGCAAAAATGGATAGTGGCCCATGCCACACTGATCAATTACAGCGTTAAATATCAATGGGAGGATTCAAACAAACAATACCAAGTGAATTTAAAGTTCACCCCATTGCACAAGCAAGTGGTTATCAGGACTAAGTAGCTGAGTGAATAACGCGATGTCGTTTGAAGCGAACGGTGCTGGATTCGAGTCACAGAGTGAACATCAACTCTGAGATGCAGGTGCATGCAGCTGACGAGTCCCAAATAGGACGAAACGCGCGCCCTGGATTCCACTGCTAGCCAATATCCATCTTTGCTTATAAAGCTGATTATATTCTGTGAATTACCTGTTTCTCATAAGCAGATAAGTAAATATAACGGTACTTCAGATAAGGAGATGATAATAATCTTTTATTTCGATGCTGAACGATACTTATTTAATATTCGATAAAATATGCAATCTTAAGATGCCACATTTTTTTGTGGAAACGTTTTGACAAACTTTAGATTTAAATACAGTTATGCATTCTTTTTAGAATAACATAAACGCTTCCAGGTTCAGGTTATACTCAAAATATCTTATC